TACGTTTTCATGGTTTTCGGACACATGCCTTCCTCTCTGTGTTGAGTGTTGTTGGTAAGCGCTCTGCAGTGAGTAACGGCTCATCAGGATCCAGACACCGCAGAATGAAACACTGCCTGGCCCTGTGCCATCCGTACCATGTGTGTGTTTGACCCACTGGCAGCTGCGGTATCAGTCCATCTCATTGAGAGTCCTCCTCTTTTTTCCCAGGGACTGGTCTTCTGATAACACGTCCAGAGTCACGTACGACAAACGTTTTCCATCCTTGCTTCCAAGGAGCATCCGGTTGTCCTCCGCCCAGGACGGCTTCGCTTGTTCTGCTGCCGACCGCTGTTCTTTCAGTATCCTTCACCAGCACCACCATCCAGCGCTGTTTCTTCCCCCTTCACTTTCCAGCCAGCACACGCCTGTGCGAGCCCGTTGAAAATACGGCGCTTGGATCAGGTGCACCACCCACCTTAATCCTCAGGGTGACCCTTTGCTCTTCCACACTTGAAAGAGGGCCTGAGCTGGTTTGCCCAATGCATTAGGCCACTTTCCTAAATACCGACTGGATCCAGGGAACACGAAATCCCTGACAACATCCACCTTTTTCTCCGTTCTTCACGGTGATATCTGTTGGCCCCGCTGTGAGGAGTTTTGTTTTCTGTGCGTTGAGGTGCAGTCCACACGAAGGCTGCCCCTCTGGTTTTCATCGGTCAGGACTTCAGGTCCTCCTCGATTCCCCTGCTTCTCGCAGGTTGGTATTAAACCTTCCTCTTATCCTGGTGCTGTGCTCGTCTTCATTCAGCCCAGCCCCTCCGATGATTTGCTCAGCATGCAGACGGATCAGACAGGGTGGTTTTCTGGTTTTAACCCTGCAGCAGTCCGTGTTTCGTTTGCGCAGCTGTCCCCATGTGCACTGCGGGTTCCACAGGAGCACCCTGAAACCAAAGACCGCGCTCACTGCCACGGCGTGAATTCTGACTGCTGGGGTTCCTTCCTCCGCCGCTCTTCCCACAGATGTTGTCCCTTTGATCCCTGGGTGTTCTGCCTGGTGAGCTCCCTGTGGACGGCCGCTCTCGATGTTGCTGGGAAAAGGTCTTTGCAGTTTTGTTGTGCAATCTCCAGCTTCATTTCTTTCACCCAGGCCACATTTCCCAAACACTGGTCCTTCCTCTGTGTCTCTTGCTTTCTCATTCCAGTCACCAGTAATCATCAGTGCATTTTGATTGCGTGTTTGGTCAATTTCAGACGGAAGAATTTGGTACAATTTTTCATCATTAGCTTTAGTGTTTGGTGCATACACTTGAATAGTACTTGTATTAACTGCTTGTAGGCATATGGATATTATCCATACG